GGCCCCTTTTCCCGTCCAAGTAATTTAATAGAACTTAATAATTCGCCCTCCATGCTGTTAACTAGTTTGGTAAAATTAGAGACACTATATTTTAAAATCAGTTGTTTCAACAAATATTTCCAGGTCCTAAAATTGTCTGTTACTGAATCAGTGAACTGAACCACTATATAGGTATTATACAGTATGCTCACTTCATTTAGTTCTATAATAACTGGAGCGGCTATTTCAAGAGCGGCTTTAGATATCAGATGTTGTCAAAAAAGGTGGTAAAATTTGTCTATTTCCGCTGACATTCACTGAAATTGACTGCTTTGTAGAAAATTTTGCAATTTCTGACTCCCCCCTGAAGAAAGAGTGAGAAAAAAGTATTTTCTTATTTGGCATTTGACAAGCAAACTTATGATCTAAAATCAAGGTACAAAACTGAAATTCATAACAGCGAGTCAACTGTGGTTGTTAGTTGTCGGCTCTTACGAACATGCGTTTTTATAACTACCGACGAAGAAGCTTTTTGCTGGCTACATATCAAAGCAGATGCACGACGCAGCGACGTCAACATTCAAACTTGTTTGCCTTATTAAACTTTATGGTTTATACGAAGAAAAAGTACATCTTGGATTATCTGTACGGTTGCCGTGAGAAGTGCTAGCTCATTTTGAGTCATTCATTCTCATTACTTTTTTGCTTTCTTTCATGTAATGGCCTTTGGTTTTCGTCACAATTGTAAGATTTGCTCTTGTACATGCATGCCACTCTGTATAAATGAATAAATGGCTGAAAAGTTACCTCTTGACTCAATATTTTTGATTTTGTGTGATTAATTTTCATTTAAATTTCTAAACGACTCAAGTTAGCATAAGAGATGATGGGTATAGGTCATTGATAAATAAAAATAAATATTGTATACAAATTACCTAGTAACCTTTAATAGTTAAACATTTAGATCTATAATTTAAAGAAACCTTAAAGATTTTTTAGAAATTATATAGTTACAGATTTGTACTACCTGTTTCTCATCCATATGGTGAACAAACTCACGATGCAAAAAATTGAAGAAACACTTGGAAAAGTCAAAAAGTTTTACCGTTTTAAAAAGCAGAAATAAAGCAAATGCCACATGTCCATTCTTTGCTATAATAGGTAAATAGCTCAAAATGTCATTTAAGCTAAAAACTGAAGTAAGGAAGAAATATATAGTACTACAAATTTGAAGTTTTCTTTAATGCTTCAATATAGCATTCATTAGATATTAGTAACATTCAAACAACACTCTACAGAAATATTTTAATAAAGATATGACATGATTTGACCATTTACTTATAAAAAAGTGAGTCATAAATCATCAATCTCAGTATCAATATCAATATCCACATAAACACAAACTTAATGACCATTTTACATTACTGTGAATTGACATTGCATCAAGTATCCAAGCGCTTACAGCCACCTTGCCTCGCCATCTTTCTTTGCTACCTTTACTTTCTTTTCAAAGCATTCAAGGAATCATTAATATATCGTCCCCATCCCTAAAATCAGACCATGGTCAAAATTCCTGAAATAATGATGAAATGGTGTTAATCCTGCATCATATTCCTAAAACACTTTGCAAACTGATCATCGCTTTGTGTTGTCAGCAAATAGGATCAGAACAAATTGTGCTCCATTTTATGGTTACTGGTGGAGGTGGCAGTTTCTTCATGTTATCTATTCACTGAGAAACTGTGCGGGCTCTATTTTGGCATCAGGGACACTATTTTGCTAATAGATGGGTAAAATATTGAATTTCATAACAAAAACAGGAAAATATCAGTATATTTGGTATGAAAGTCAGTGTTTTAATACGGTCTTCTAGATTTTGTGTCTTTTAAGAGTATTAATTGCTTTTCAATCTTTGATGAACAAACAAAACAAGCAAATATCTTACCTGTTACAGTGAGATGTTCCTTTTTGTGCTCATTAGGGTATTCAACAATTGAACGATAAAAGTGTTGGCATTATAGTAGACATAACACAAAAACGTGTTTGTTTTTAATAAATCCTATATAATTTACTATAAATGACAGGGGAGGTCGAGAGTAATTTTTCTGCAAAGCGAACATTTCAGCGGAAATAGGTCATGTGGCATCCATGTTTTGACTACATCGCCCTAGTCCACTTAGCCCTTCCAGTTATTATAGAACTCAATGGCTCAGTCTCGCAAAACTTATCCTCGCGCATATTGGCAATGTTCTCAGTAAGGAAAGAGGAGTGAAAATATTAAGAATTCATGTATTGGGTTTTTTAATTCCATATGGGAAGTTATTGATCTAAAATAATTTAGATCAATTCCTAATTCTTCTCCTTCTCACTGTCTGATCAGTTTCTTTTACCACTTGCTTTGTAAAACTGACAGAACCGGTAACTCAGTGCGAGTTTCAATTCTTGATTTTTCTAAATCTCTCGATCTTATCGAGCACAACATTTTACTAAAGAAGTTATGAAACATGAAAGTCTCTGAAAAAGTAAAGAACGAAACTTCTTAACTGAAAGAAAACAAAGCATGAAACTAAACGATTATGTCTCTGAATGGCGAGCCATCAACAGTGGTGTAACCGAATGAACAGTTTTGTGTCCGATACTTTTCCAAGTAATGATTAAAGGTCTTTTAGAATGGTGGCCGGGTCAATGGAAATTAGTCGATGACTGTACTGCTACCGAAAGCATCCCACATGGAACACAGAACAAAATGAAACTTAGCGTATCTAAATGCAAAGAACTAATCGTAGATGTTTCTAAACATAATAAAACGTTTCCACCTTTACATGTTGGAGATTTGAGATCGAAAGATGCAAAATCTTCTCTTGTTTTTTGACTGAACGTGTTATTCACATCAATGTTATTCCTGTTATTATTTTAAAAAATTCAAGCCAAATCCGTTTGTGAAATGCTTGCAAACCTCGACGATTCCGCCATAAGACTTTTTGCGTTTACAATTTTCATACTAAAAATTACGTCACCTACAGATAATTTACAATGTTTTGGTTGTGTATGTTGCGTATTGATAACTATCTGTTTGCTCTTAATCAATCACAATCGACATTGCATCATCATTGTGTAAAAAAACAATTCAAAGTCCATATTGCGCAGTTAAAAAAACAAAACGAAATAAATGACACGTCAGCGACCTCAATAAAGAAGAAATTTGTTACAAGCGAACGCTTTTAATATCACCAGCCATATCAAAATACATTAGTTCAAGTGAGTACCTGTACATTATCACAACATCAATCAGCAGATACATTATTCGCGACAACAGTTGGGGTTGGTAGTAACATATTTAGGTAGTCAATTAAAATTGCCTTCTACCTTTCTGGCCTTCATAGTTTCCACACTGATTTTGTGTTTTTTTAGAGCATTACGTCTGCTCATTGGGAGGGGAGGCTGGGCCCTCGATATTGCCAACATAAAGTAAACACTCATTGATATTTCAGTACCCAATTAAGGAGACCATCAGGACTGCCGGCCTTTGAGTGACAAATTTTTCTTAACTTTTTAACAACCTCGATTTTGTTGACTTCGATGAACTGATCGTTCTCATCCATAGACATATATTCATCAGGAGATAGCGGAGAATATTCTTGCATCACATTTATAAAGGATGTGTTGATTTTATCGCATAAAATTTTTCATCGTTATCTAATTCTGTAGATAACATGTCTTCAATTTTTTTCAGTTAAATTCATAGTTTCCACTGGGTTGTTTGACCTCTTGCCACCACTTATTAGGTTTTGCATTTAGCAAAAATTTGCATTTTGCATTAAATACAAAATTGTATCATCAGCATTCACATTGTGGGTTTTTAAGTTTTTCATCAGATAAAACACAACGCAATTGTGTAACTTTCAATATTTAATTTTTTTCGTGAATACTCAAACGCTGTTTTCAATATTAAATTTGCCAAAGATCAGATTAAATGAGTAAAGGGAGAAGAAAGTGAACGTAGCTAATCTAAATATTTTTCTGCGTCTGTTTTTTTTATTACGTTATGCATTATACCCAACAACAAGATGTTTACATTCCTCAAACAACTAAAAATTTTAATCAATTGTTATTATAATCAAGTGCTATTTCATGTGACCTTGGAAAAAATTTTGCATACGTATTCAGTTTTTTCGTTAAAAAGACTTTGTACAGAGTTCGTTTGAAAGGCGTTCGTTTCATTATAGTTAACAAAAACTGTAAACATTGTTCTGCGATTTAAAAGAAAGAAAGTGAGTATTTGAAAGATCATTAGGACAAATACCTTTAGTGTTGTTCTTTTTCGCGAGATAGGGAATTTGTTATGCGTCATTTGTCAAATCAAGTGCCGCACTTATAATGTACATCTTGTTAAATTGCACTACCTTTCATTTTATCCACAGAAAACCGCATTGGAAAGAAGGATACATTAAACAAGATTTTATTCTTCTTATTCGTTTTCAGGTAGCTAATATGGCGAGAACAGAGGAATTCATTAACGAGGTACGGGAAAGATAAATTTTGTGATGATGTGATCAACCATCTTTAAAATAAGGCTTAGGAAATATTTTAAGAGTTCCATCAGGCAATGAGAACTACCAAAGTTATAGGAGTAATTTGCTTAGCTTTTCTTTTTCTGCCCACGCAGGGATTACGATTATTCAAACTTGCTGTCGATGATTCAATTATATATTTGCCAAGAGTTTATGGTAGTATTTGAACAAAAAAATGAAAATTAAATAAACCATGCAAACATCACATGTAAATATGTAGCAAGAAAGTTTGGTTTGTGTTATAGTTCATATGCTTCTTATGTAAGACGCAGTAGATGATCGCCAAACTATAACTGTCAACAATTGAAAGGTTTGTTGAAAATTGTGATTGTCTAACAGCGCATTATGGGTTGTCAGATGATTTTCACTTCATGATAAGAACATTATGGACCATAGTATTTGCTAGGTATTTTTTGTTCATTTTTAGCTTTCAAATTAAATTTTTAGTTACGAGAATTTGCAGATGTCATAGAAAAATCGAGAACAGCAATTGATGATGCTGATCTTCAATGTCTGATGAGCTTGAAGAAAAAATATGCACAAGTATTTACGAAATCTGTATGTACAATTTTCAAACAGTTTTCCCTTCAATCAACCATTTAAATAAACTCGCTTTTAAGGTTGAATGTCAACATGTAGTGTTATTTCGCTTGTGATTTAATGTATAGAATTTTTCACTGGAAAAATGTACTTGGGCAATTGTGAGCAGAAGGTTTGAAGTATTAGAGTTTAATTGTTGTTGAATTTTGTATTAACTTTTATTATGTGCACCATAGATTCTCCGGTTCCATTCCCCTCAAAACTACAAATTCTTGTTGCAGATAGTGTATTTTTAAAGTGAGTCTTTCCCTAAACAACACAGCTCTTTCGTACTTGTACATTTGATACGTTACATGTGTATATTTTATTATTGCTTGGTTATTTGTCAATTGCAGCCGAAAAATTTGCAGAAGATCAAGAGAGAAGGGCTTGCACACGAACCAGGTACAAACAGTAAGGTATGTTTATGAATTATTATGATGAATCCAAAACCTTTTATAAATTATGGTTATAGTAAATTACGAACATGCAAATTTTGGTTATGATGTCAGGATGATTTCATTTGTGGAGAGTGTCGAAAGGGGGCGAAGATATCTCTAACAATACAGTGCTTTCGGTAAAGTAACCTGTAAATTCTTCAGTGAATCTTTTGAATTCTAAAACTATGGACCAACTGAACAAAAGCTTTTTTTAAATAACTAGCACTGAAAAGCAAGGCTTGAGAATGTGAAAACACATTTCAGTAACTGATTGAGGAGCAACCACATTAGTTTAATAAGCTATGTAAGCTATCGGTTTGTTTGCTAGTGTTTTCCACGTGTTTTCCTGAAAACCAATTGTCGAGGAATTACTAAGTCCACCTTGTTTTTTTAGAGCACAATCTTTACTCCTTCATCTTTGATGTCAAAAAAATCATTTTGGAAAAACTCGAAAGAGAATCGGCGTGGTTCTTACCAGGTAAATGTTTTGGTAACAACTTTATGATATCAAAATCATTTATCACTTGACATTCATCATCGCTAGCTGTCATTATTGATGACTATAACATATCATTTTCGTTTTATTTTATACTAAATCTTAATTTTTCACGAATACTTTTTTTTAGTAATAAGATCATTCCGTATTACTCCATAAGAAATATTATAGAATGGACAATTCAATTAAGAAACAATGTTTTAGCTAGGTCGATGACTAGTTTATCACATCATTTGTCAGCTGTAAGATAGCGTTTTAGCCCAGCCAAAATAGTAAGTTTCAATTTTAGTAAAGTTATTTTCCAAAAAAATGTGACAAAAACGTAACGATAATTTACCACTTAAGTGATCAAGGAGGCATCTAGGTTACTCGAATAGAGCAAAACTTAAGAGCCGTACGTTTAGAAGGATAAACACAACTTCCAAATATTTGCCCCAAAAATGGACTTGTTACATAGCTATGTGTTTCACTCTGTGACGAAAATTTGTTTTTAGGTATTCAAACTTGATACGAACAAAGCTTTATGTTGTAAATACGCACCATGTGCTAGGAATTGCATGAAACATTTACTATATATCGAAGAAACGGGTTTATGTCCTGGACAGGTGGATCAAAAATTGGGTCAGATTTCGTTAGGGACAAAATTCTTGGAGGATCTATGGGAAATCTTGGAGGAAATTTTACCACTTGAGGAGATACCAAAAGAGAAATTGCTAGAGCTGATGAGTGAAATATTAGAGAAGCTTCAGAAAACACCTGTGCTGCCATGTACACAGGTGCTTATTGCCCTACAAGAAGAACAATTCTTAGAGTCAATATACAATAGTGACTTTGGCGATGACAAACTCATTGATAATGCAAAAAAGAAGTTCAAAGAGAGTAAGCGTAAGGCAGGAATTTTGCTTTGTGTTACTGACAAAATGAGTCATGGTCTAATTTTAAAAAGGGACGAGGAAGGTGAACAAGTGAATTTGTATGACTCCACAATTGATGAAGACAAAATGGTGGATTTTGGAATTATTCACAGCTTACAAGTTCTTGTCTTGGAGGATGAGAAACCTCTCATTGATAAGAAACCTCTTATTGCTAAACTATGGTCCAAATTGAAAATGTGCTACTGTCTAAAAGACTATCTTGAAGCTCACGCAAATAATGTTGGTAAAAAGCCTAAAGAGTCAGTATCTCAATTGATGTTTCAGTCATGAGAATTCATAGTAAATTTGAATTTTATGCAGAGGGTTTTATCAACATTTTTAATTAATTTTTTAGTGTATATTCAGTAATCGGCCACTTTAAACATTATATTAATTGGTAAAATGCAAAATTTTTGAGTAACATAATGATTTTATTTAAAAAAAACGACTGTTAAAATGTAAATTTAGTGAAAACCAAGTGGGTGTAGACCATGTACCTTTGTTATCACATAGCTACGTTTATGGTGTATCTTTATGATAAGTTAATATGTCAGAACACAATAAGAAGCAATAGAAAGAATTTCTCAATGCTCGTAATAACACTACTAAAGACATTGTATTAAATGTAACCATGGTAAATTCGTATAATCACGAGTGAAATGTATAAAATTAACTGGAACCATAACTTGTATAGTTTTGTCTTGTGGTTGGTTGAAGCCAAAAATTCAGCTAAATATTAATCAACTGTCCTCTGAAATAATTCATTTTTTAATTTTTTTCTTTGCGACTGACGTTTGTTTTGGCTTCTTGGCAGTTGACAAACGTGAAAAAGTATTCATTGTTTTTTTTGACAGATTTTGTGCTTTGAAATTGTATCGCTCATACTTAGTGTATGCTACAGCAGGATATTTGTAAGGAGAAAATAAACGGCAATAATATAGGGGATTGATCGACTAACTAATACAATGAATGATGATGGACTGAATGCCAAAAAGTAGAGAAAAATATATTAATATTTAAAGCATTTTATAAAACTGATAGTTTATAATTTACGACCTTTTACGTTTAAAAATGTTCCATTGATATATCTTATTTGATGACCCACTGTTTTCCTTGTTTATTTATTGTTTTCTTTTAACAATATTAATTGTTAAAACAAAATTTTCTTTTAACAATATTTATTGTTTTCTTTTAACAATGTGTTTATTTTATTTTCTCGCTTTTTGTACTTTACACTGACAGTACAAGAACTAATTGTTTTGTATTTAAAATATACATTTACATAAAAAAAAAGTAAATGCATAAGATGAAGATTTTAAGACTCTTTTTAATACTCTATTTACGAGGATCTTGCATTATTATTAAGGATCTGAGCTGTATATATATTTGTATTGTATGTGTTTCATGTCACAAAAAAGGTTTCTAAAAAACACCAATTTCTCTTGCAAATTGCTCAATTTTTAAAAAACCTTTTGAGTTTGTGTATTTATCATGGAACTAAAATATTTGGGTCGTTTGAACGATTAGCTATGTCAAGGATAAGTTCACTTTTGAAAATTTATAAAAATAAAAATTCTGTTTAGTTTACCAAAGGACTAGAGCGACCTGGATGGCTGCCATCATCTGGCATCAATTTCCCCCTCTGACATGTTGTTCCAGTGTATATTAAAGTTCACTGAATGCTTTACATAACGAAGAAACTCAAGAAACGAATTTGGTCTTTTGCTAAAATTTGGCTACTTCTAACCTATATTTGCTTACAAGGGAGCACTGATGATAGACATGAGCTACCAACTACCAAAAGCATTTATCCCAGGATATAAACTGCGAATGAACTACTGATAGAAATCAGTAGATTTATGCAAACTTCACTATCTATAATAAAACGAATTGCGACAATTGGTGAAATTTCTACAACATGTTTATGAAATAAAGCTTCCCCTTTATAAATTTTGGTATGAGTTAAAATTTCAGAATGCACTGAGTGTGATGAGCGTTTGTTTTTTCTAATAAGTATAATAGAAGTGAAAATATCGGTTGTTAAAAATACCGTTTTGACGAAAATTGCATTCTGATATGCCGGGTCCTGGACACTAGCCTGCGGTAGCTCGTGATGTCAGTGGTTGTGTTCTTTGCAATCGTGATTGTTTTCATCATTATTTTCATTGGTTTTGCTTTCTGTAAAATCATTTTGGCATCCATGTTCTTGACAACATGTTTCAGGCCCTTTTCCCGTCCAAGTAATTTAATAGAACTTAATGATTCGCCCCTCATGCTTTTAACTAATTTGGTAAAATTAGAGGCAGCCAAGTAATTTGTTAAAGTTTTATATTCATCGATTTATGTAAATAGTAAAGATATTTGCTTTCTTTTGAAATCAATTTTTTTAACAAATATTTCCATGTCCTAAAATTGTCTTTTATTGAATCAGTAGACTAAATCACTATTTAGGTATTATACTGTATGCTCATTCTATTGAGTTCTATAATAACTGGAGCTGCTATCTCAAGCGCGGCTTTAGTTGTCAAATGTTTAAAAAAAATGGAGGAATTTACCTATTTCCGCTGGCATTTACTAAATTGACTACTTTGCAGAAAATTTTGCAATTTCTCCCCCAAAGAAAGAGTGAGAAAAAAGAATTTTTCTTATTTGGCATTTGACAAGCAAATTTATGATCTAAAATCAAGGTAAAAAACTGAAATTCATTACAGAGAGTCAACTGTGTGTGCTTGTCTGCTCCTACGAAGATCCGTTTTATAACTACCAACGAAGAGGCTTTTTGCTGGCTACATAACAACGCGGATGCACGACGCAGTGACGTCAACATTCAAAGTTGTTTGCCAGATTAAACTTTATGGTTTATACAAAGAAAAAGTACATCTTGGATTATCTGTACGGTTGCCGTTAGAAGTGCTAGCTCATTTTGAGTCATTCATTCTCATTACTTTTTTGCCTTCTTTCATGTAATGGCCTTTTGGTTTTTCGTCACAATTGTAAGATTTGCTCTTGTATACGCACGCCACTCTGTATAAATGAATAAATGGCTGGAAAGTTACCTCTTGACTCAATATTTTTGATTTTTTGTGATTAATTTTCATTCAAATTTCTAAAAGACTCAAGTTTGCATAAGTGATGATGGGTATAGGTCATTGATAAATAAAAATAAATATTGTATACAAATTACCTAGTAACCTTTAACATTTAAAAATTTAGATCTATCATTTAAAGTAACCTTAAAGACTTTTTAGAAATTACATAGTTACAGATTTGTACTACCTGTTTCTCATCCATATCATGAACAAACTGACGATGCAAAATATTGAAGAAACACTTGGAAAAGTCGAAAAGTTTTCCAGTTTTGAAAAAAGCAGGAAATAAAGCAAATGCCACATTTCCATTCTTTGCTATATTAAGTAAATAGCTCAAAATGTCATTTAAGGCAAAAACTAAAGTTAGGAAGAAATATATAGTACTACAACTGTAAAGTTTTCTTTAATGCTTCAATATAGCATTCATTAGATATTATTTACATTTAAACAACACTCTACAGAAATATTTTAGTAAAGGTATAACATGATTGGACCATTTACTTATAAAAAGTGAGTCATAAATCATCAATCTCAGTATCAATATCAATATCCACATGAACACAAACTTAATGGCCATTTTACAGTACTGTGAATTAACATTGCATCAAGTATCCAAGCGCTTACAGCCACCTTGCCTCGCCATCTTTCTTTGCTACCTTTACTTTCCTTTCAAAGCATTCAAGGAATCCTTAATACATTGTCTCCATCCATAAAATTAGACCATGGTCAAAAACTCCTAAAATAATGTTGAAATGGTGTTAATACTGCATCATATTCCTGAAACACTTTGCTACCTCATTATCTCTTCATGTTGTCAGCAAATAGATCAGAACAAATTCTGCTCCATTTTATGGTTACTGTTTGAGGTAGCAGTTTCTTCATGTCATCTATCCACTGAGAAACTGTACAGGCTCTATTTTGGCATCAACAAAACTATTTTGCCAATAGATGGGTAAAATTATTGAATTTCATAACCAAAAACAGGAAAATATCAGTATATTTGGTACGCAAGTCAGTGTTTTTAATACGGTTTTCTAGATTTTGTGGCTTTTTAAGAGTATTAATTGCTTTTCAATCTTTGATGAACAAACAAATCAAGCATATATCTTACCTGTTAAAGTGAGATGTTCCTTTTTGTGCTCATTACGATATTCAACAATTGAACGATAAAAGTGTTAGCATTATAATAGACATACCAAAAAAGATATTGTGCTTGTTTTTAATAAATCCTATATAATTTACTATAAATGACAGGGGGAGGTCGAGAGTAATTTTTTTTGCAAAGCGAACATTTCAGCGGAAATAGGTCAATTGGCATCCATGTTTTAGACAACATCGCCCTAGTCCACTTAGCCCTTCCAGTTATTATAGAACTCAATGGCTCACTCTCGCAAAACTTGTCCTCGCGCAATTGGCCGCCATGTTGTCAGTAAAGAAAGAGGAGTGAAAATATTAAGAATTCATGTATTGGGTTTTTTAATTCCATATGGGAAGTTATTGATCTAAAATAATTTAGATCAATTCCTAATTCTTCTCCTTCTCACGATCTCATCAGTTTCTTTCACCACCTGCTTTGTGAAACTGACAGAACCGGTAACTCAGTGCAAGTTTCGATGCTAGATTTTTCAAACTCTTTCGATCTTATCGACCACAGAATTTTACTAAAGAATTTACTAAAGAAGTTTTATAAAACATGAAAGTCTCTGAAGAAATAAATAGCTGGGTAAAAAATTTCTTAACTGAAAGAAAACAACACATGAAACTAAACGATTGCGTCCTAAATGGCGAGCCGTCAACAGTGGTGTAACCGAAGGAACAAATTTGTGTCCGATACTTTTCCAAGTAATGATTAAAGATTTTTCAGAATGGTGGCCGGGTCAATGGAAATTAGTCGATGACTGTACTGCTACCGAAAGGATCCCACATGGAACTCAAAACAAAATGAAACTTAGCGTATCTAAGTGCAAAGAACTAATCGTAGATGTTTCTAAACATAAAAGAACGTTTCCACCTTTACATGTTGGAGGATTTGAGATCGAAAGGGTAAAATCGTCTCTTGTTTTTGACTTATTATTCAACATAATATGAAATGGAACAAACACGTTGACTATGTTGCTAATAAAGCTATGAAAAGATTGTATATGTTAAAAATACTAAAACGATCAAATGCTAATATAAACAACTTACTAATAGTATATACCACTGTCATAAGATCTGTACATGAATATGCCTTCAAAGTATGGCACTTTAACAGCCCTGATTTTTTATGGGAAGAAACTGAAGTAGTAGCTATAAAAACGTGCGTTGAGAAGAATTATACCGTCATTAAATATGAAAAAGCTTTGGACTACGTGAATATTTTAACCTTAAAAAATCGACGGGACAATCTGTCTAAAAAATTTTTTATGAACAATGATATGAATCCTAAACACCACTTCCTAATTACGTCCTAAGAAGCTGTGGATCTTACTAACATTTTTGTTGCATGACCGAACGTTTTAAAAATTTCTTTTACCACAAAGTATTATATGAAGTAACCGTAAGTAGATATTAGTTCTTAATTGTTTATTTGTTGTAAATAAATGTGTATAAATTAGTTATTTATAATTTACATGTCAGAACTTTTGTAAGTTAACCGGTTACTAAAAAGTTCATGTTTTAATAAAATTTAAAAAATTTCAAATTCGAAGGTTTCAAGGAAACTTAACATTCGAAGTTTGACGTAACAAAATTAGGTGATTATCCTTGTAATGGAAATTGACTGTGGATTTTTTGTGATGTGGTTTTCTTTTGTGATTATTGTCGGCTTAAACTGTAAAGTACGTTACGTGTAAAACGTCTTTTCACTGTATTATGGTGAAAGACGTCACATAAATAGTTTGTGAAACATATTCTCAATTACACCACGTGGAACCACTATTGCTTTTATTGATTTTTAAATATTTGAAAATTTTCCGATTTCCAACTAATTTTCAAATGAAATAAATACGTAAATTGTTAAACAGTAACAATTTTCAAGAGCTTGGTAGACTTCATTATATAAAGAATAATTTATCTTAACACAACAAGTACTACAATTTTAGGGCACTCCGAGAACGTTAATAGGGGTGGGGGTGTATATTCATATATTTAATTTTGAATGTGAATTGCTTAATTCCTTAGGTGAATTGCTTTCAAAAGAAATCAGTAGGCATATCTTAATATATGAATGGTACCCAAGAAACTGCACCAGAGGAAGAGGAAAGCCAAAGAGAAGATGGAGAGACGAGATCGAAGAGGAAACTGGAAAGACCTGGATGAGGAGAGCTAAAGACCGAATCGAGTGGAAGAAGTTGTAGAGGCCATCTGCCAGCAGTGGCGTGAACGGCTGATGATGATGATGATGATGAATATATGAATAAAACACACATCCCCCAATTAGCGTTCTAGGGAAGGCCCGATGATTTGTTAGCTATTGCTTTCCGCACACATGGTTTTATAATTCATTTGTATTTCACTATCTATTTTGAACAGATACGGAAATTGTTTACATCATTACTTTTATATGCTTTAGATATCTTTTAAGCAATTCTGGATGCGCCCAAGAAGGTTTTCAATTTCAGGACGTGAAATAATTAATGATTTGGTAAAATGAAAGCTGGTATTCGGCTAGTTATTTCTCTTCACAGCACGAAATTGAATATAGGATAAAGATAGAGAAGTTTTAAAACAGTTGAATCCTTGCTAATATTCTGCAAATCCTGTTCACAACCTGCATAGATAAATGTAGATTAAAGTACCAGTTCTTTAGAAGAAAAACAGTTGGTTTTCAAAATAACTATATAGCCGCTTGAAACAAGTAACAATTCCATTTTTTCCTTCGTAGATCTTTGTAGATAAACGAAATCGTTTAAAGCTATCCACGGTATCATAGATCTCGAGTGAACGAAAGCAACACTCTTATCATCCAATTAGCTCAGTCCATGTAGGCGATCACATTTGCAATCATTACTCAGAAATACTATCTTCACAGATACACAGAATACTTTCAACAAAAATGTGAGACAAGAAAAAGTTTTATTGTAATGATGCATTGTTGACTGTTGGAACTTCCTTTACATCAAAAGTAAACCCCAAAAGTGTTATTTAATTTCTATCGAGTAAGCTTATGATGTACTTAGGAGAATGGAAGTACTTAACTATATCAATTAGGCTTTCATGACGAAACTCTACAGACAGCTAGCGAAGGAGTTAAGGATAGAAATAAATGAAAAGCTTTATTTTCATCAAATTTTCCTTTCAGCACTTGAAGTGCAACTACGTAATGACGCATCTTTCGTTCGTACTCTTTCTTACGTCAAATTTTATCGTCATAAATCTCGTATATTCCAATGTACTGTACGGCTTGAATGCTTTCAAATGAAATATTATTTTTTGCGGGTGAATGGGTTTCCTCTGTTGTACAAGGCTTGGATTCTTTCAATTTTATGTTCCTTCAGCTGTACGAGCACCAAACAAGTTCAATTTTGTGTTGTTCCTATTATTTATTATAACCTTATTGTATTTAGTTCAACAATATGCAAGTAATTGCATTGTGTGACTAACAAGGATATGCATGTATGTAAGTAATGTTTTCTCTATTAACACAGTCCTCATTAATTGTGTGGACAAGCTTGTCTTTACAGTAGTGAAAGCAGGAATAATCTCGTCTGCATCATCTTTTGCAGCTTACTGCCATTTTTTTAGAATACAAGAACTCCAAACGACAATGGCAATGCAGAATTCCCTGGACAATGATGAACGACTGAAGGGTCTCAAGATCCTGAGCAGGTCAAGTTGCTTGTATGCGTACAAAAGACTGGCAAGCATGGAGAAGTACATTATGAAGATGGCAGGAAAAATCATTTTGCAAGACTCAACTCCATCTACATATGAATGTACAATCATGTGAACCGATGTTCTTATAAACTGAGGCTTGACTTCAGTTTGGAAATCAATTCAAACACTTACGCACATCTTGAAAAGATCAGGAGTTCAAGGAAACAGTGCTGTAGTAGCTGAAAGTGTCTTGTTTAGTGTAGGATATTGGACTTAATGCATTGTATTGTGTTTTATGCAGATTGCGTGAGCTTCAAAGTTTTTACTCTCTGGTCAATTGAATTTAAAATGAGTTCGTCTACCAAATAGTCTAGATATGTTCCAAAAAGGCACAGTAGCTGTTAAAACGTCAACAGAATCGTAGAAGTCAAACTATTTTTTAGCCAAGCTCAGAATAACAGCGTTCCCAGCAATTTAGGAATGCAAAGTGCTTGTAAGTTTGGCATGTTCGAGGCTTAGAGTACTTTTTCAAACAAAGAGCTTCTTTGTCTTTACGCTTTTACAATCGATTTTTGCATATGTATGAATGTTTTCATTTTAGATTTCATGCATTGGCTCCAAACGTGATTTATCAATTTTATGTCACCACGGAAGGACTTCATGAAACGCATCATTCGAGTCATACCCGTCTTTCTCTTAATTTCACGACAGATTTCTTTTGATTCACTACATTTCTCAATTGTCAGTGTTGTCATGTTATTCACATCAGTGTTTTTCCTGTTATTACTTTAAAGAATTCAAGAATTCATTCCGTCTGAAATGCTTGCAAATCTCATAGATTACTCCATAATACTTTTTGCGTTTACAATTTTCATATTAAAAATTACGTCACCTACAGATAATTTACAATGTTTTGGTTGTGTATGTTACGTATCGATAACTATCTGTTGACTCTTAATCAATCACAACCGACATTGCATCATCATTGTGTAATAAAGCAAATCAAAGTCCGTATTGCGCAGTTAAAAAAACAAACCAAATAAATGACAAGTCAACGTTCTCAATCAGAAGAGATTTGTTACAAGCGAATGCTTTCAATATCACCGGCTATATCAAATTACATTTTTTCATGTGAATACTTCTACATTATCACAACATCAATCAACAGATACATTATTCGCGACACCATTTCCTGTTATAAGCTACCTTTCGAAGGACAACCATTAAGTGACATTTGACAAGGTAATGTATAGTTTTCATACAAGTTCCATTATTTTCGATTCGACTGGCATAAATTTAAGACTTTGTAGCCATTCCTGGTTCATAGCCAATTTCAATATTTTAACTAGTGACAATAATTTCATTGACACTACGAAGCACATTTAGAAGCAAATTAAGTGGCCAAAATAAACATTATTTTCCGGAAAAAAATAAAAGATTAAGTTAACAGTTGGGTTTGGTAGTAACATATTTAGATAGTCAATACGCATTGCCTTCCACCTTTCTGGCCTTCATAGTTTCCACACAGATTTTTTTTGTAATTTTGCTAGCATTACCTCTGTTCATTGGGAGGGGAGACTAGGCCCTCGATATTGCCAACATAAAGTATACCGTGGTAAAATTTTCTATTTTTTTGCATGTGATCAAAGTCATTACTAGAAAAGATTGCTACTGAACGAAATGAACCCTATGTTGGATGTATCATGAGAGATTAATCATTGATGTGAAATTGACTTTTTATGTCAGGTCAGCATGGCAAAGGCACCAGTGACCAATGAACATTTGCAAAAACCTTCATTGGAGGAAGATGTATCGAATGAAAACAGTTGTGAGGTACACATGATGTATTAAATACAAGCAAAAGCTTGATTTACTGTTGGGAAAGATAGATATACATCAAGCGTGGTATTTCATGACTATTTTGTGAGCTAGCAATGACTACTGAAGATCAATTAGTGGGCTAATATTCATACACGCATGTTATGATATTAGCTACTATTGAAATCTGTTGTGATTGATTTAAACAAAGTAAAATATGAATATGAATATGATCCCCCCGTTTGCTTTCTTCCGCATTACCTAAGTGGTTCTTTGTGTGAAACTGTGGCTGTTGTGAGGGTTTTAGCAGCTTTTTGCCGACTGAAATATAAAGGAATAATGTATTTTACTACTACAACAAGATGAAAAAAAAAGGTTTGAATTGTAACTGCGGATATAGATTTACACAAATCTTTCTACACATAGTTAGAGACCAAGCTATAAAACATAGTTCGGAGCAAATAAAACTTGTGAACGCACATACGATGAAACGTGTTATAATACTTAACGGAACAGAAATGATAATATTGTCTCATTTAATTCAGGGTGAATCTGAGATGGACATCTGCGTTTTTTTGGAAGCTATTTATAACGTTTTCAATCGCTACGTAGAAAAGAAAAGACAATAAATAATGAGCAATGTTATCAGATTGTATGCTCCACGATAGAATTCTTTCATGCAAAAAGTTGGAGATTGAAGTGTCCAAAACAGTTTAAAGATGAATAAGGGTGTGGGGCTTGTATACATCATACTTTAGTATAAAAAAGTTTTCTATTACATCTATTCCATTGATAATACAACTCTTATTAAATATAAGGAAAATGATGTATTACTACGAGTTTAATATAAAGACAATTAACAGCCGATAATGAAACACTGTTTTTTGCCTATACTTTGTCACTGCCAACCTGTGAAATTGGGCAGAAACTACTCATCCTGTGTGTATTCATACCATAACAATCATTTAGGCGTACTATATCTTGAATAAAACCTCTGAAAAAGCGATAGCTCGAACTGAAGACCATGCATCTGCTAATAAAGACATACTTTACGACGTGCCATGAGAAATTTTCTTGTTACTTTGGTAAAGAAAATTGTTAACAATTATTCGTCAATTACAGGTTGATTTTGCGAAAGAAGGGATAAAAGAACCAGCAAAGCACGATCACAGTAAACTAAGTAGTGATAAAAAGGTATGTTTTACGCTTTTCTCAGATGATAGTATGGAGAGTATTCATATTGCTTTTGATGTTCTTTGATCATACCTTTTAGTCAGAAATACAAGAATTGTTGATAGCTCAGGAATTTAGCTATCTACCGAACTCAAATGAGGTCGAAAGAGAAAGTCTTAATGAGGAAAGTTGATTGCTAAAAGCAGTTAGATCACAGATGGTGATAGCTAAGGAAATATATCAATGTTCCAAATATAACATAGGTTAAGACGTTTTAAGCAAATAGAAATATGTCAGCTGTTGCAGTACAAATATTCTGACAGGGGAAGGGGCTGCACAGGGGAAAATTTACCGATCAATTATCGAGATTGTTATAATCAGGACAGTTTTTATAACATAAAAGTAGAATTCTTATTCATCTCATAAGAAAAATATTTCCTAGCAATGATTTGAATGAGCAAGAAAGTAAACTCCTTCATTGCATTGCCCATGTACTCCACTTTCACATGTTATCTCAGCATGATTCAAGAATTTCCTAATTTATTACGGAAAAAACTTCTGAAGATTTAATTCTTGTTAACATTTTTTGCAAGAAGCTTTGCTCCGAGTAAGAAACAACGTTTTAGGTTAAAAACATGTACATCCGTCATATGTCATTTGCCTCTGTCGTATCGTATACTTTGCCAATTAAAAGCTGCATGCTGTAAATTCATGAGATAATTTACCATTTAAGTGAGCAAGAAGACAAAAAACTCGACTTAAGTAAAAACTACGGGGCCGTAACAGTGTAGTTTAACTTCATAACTATGTGGCGAAATCATTTATTGGTCGAAAATACTTTTACAAAAAGCTCTTCCTTAAACCCGAAAAGGAGGTGATTTTTCTAGGTTCCATATCCGCTAGCTCACAAAATTGTTGTTCATTGGCAAATTTTATTCTTGTGCAGTTATTTGCTATTTTCACAAATTTTAATGTGGATGGCCAAACTTAAAACTTTCCTTTCACATAGCAGCTGCGTATGAAACTATTTCATTCAATATTTATTTATTGCATATAGTCACAACATGGGAAAGAAACGTTGAAAGCACAAGCAGTGCAAGAAATAGGAGAACAACATGCAGATCCAAAAGTATGCCTATTTATTTTTGAAAATAATTGTGGATGGTGCTCTAATTTCACATCACATTCATCAAAATTCCTAGGAAAGCAGACATCAGTCCAGGATAGCTGAGGAAAATGAGCCCATTGTAAAGGACAGTGTGCAACACGTAGTTGATGAGGTTCGTTGATTAGTGAAAGCTTAACATTTCATGAGCCGTGCTGTTATGTGTCAACAACTGTAATTTAATTAAAATTCTACGTCCCAAAATATTTCAAAACTCCTAAAAAATCCTAGTCTATTGAAAGAAAAATGAAAGAAGTATTTTATAGATTAATGTTAGTAAGTTATAAATTATGTAAATTATGAAGTTACTATTTTAAAGACAGAAGTGTGGGAAGATGTCTCTAAGAAAACAACCTCTCTTATATAGAGGCCTGTAAATTTGTCAGTTATAATGTTTTGTATATTTACTCCCAGGACAATGGCTTTAGTTCTCAAGGCATATTAATTGGTGAAAACAATGATCAAGTGCCATGCACCCTTAATAAATTATCAGACAGCAAATCAACGCCATTGGAGACAGACGTGGTACTGTACTGTTTTTCAGTCTTCTTTACAATGTATATATATTTAAGGAGAACTTTCAGTAAGTTATATATTGAGTTTATATTTTCCACAAGATTGATTGTTTACTTGTAGCCTGATGGGCTAAAGCTGACACATGCTATGTGGATGCTCATTCATCTGTTTCAACTCATGATACTGCTAAATGCTCAACTGAGAAACCTGTAATTAATGGTTTGGTCTCAGGTCATAATGTCAATAGCAACCATTCGAATTAGTTGACAAATCATCAAGACTCGCATTCTTTCTTCGATTCTGTAAAAAACTTCAAGGAAAACATTTTTATAACATGAGATTTGGCATGCTATTTTAAGTTCTAGATTTAAATTTATAATTCACAAAACAGTGAAATTCTTGAATTTTATTATTCTGAATTATTTTTTGAATATCATTGAAACACTGCGCATATTGTGAGTAAAATTAGACTATATACTTTGTTTTTATTTCTGATCAAATTTTTAAACTTTTGGACATTTTTTGAGGTAAATTCAAAATTTTTGAAATTATCTTGGATTTTTTCTGACCAGATAAAGGCTTTAGTAAAAACTTTATAATCAACTTATTTACGATTTCACTTTCATTTCACCGGATTGATTGTGATTGCACACATTGTGTCAATATTTGTACGAAAAAAATCATCACTTAACTTACGCACTTGCTTCAACATTATTACATGTCATTCATCATCACTGGATGACACTGGTCATTACTGGATGTTGTCATAGATGACCACCTACGTGATTTTTTACTTTGTATGAAACAATTGCTTGAGTATTTACATCAATGCTACCTTGAATTGGTTCACTACTGATTCTCCAGACTAATTCAGTCTTTCCATTTATTAGCTATATCTTCTATATTTTGTTGGCACAGACGTGTGGTTGGCGTTCTTATTTTACATGACTTCATAAATTTTTTAGCCAGAGGCAATTTTTCAACAGTTCACAAAGCCAAGGAACATACTGACAAGTCAGTTATAAATAATACTTCGTCATACAAGGATAACGAGGTCAGTTGATTTGTGAAAGCAGGCCATTAACAATACAATATTCGGTGATAGTCTAGGGGAATTTTTGAAGATCCAAATCTTAATTGGAATGTGTTTAGAGTGTGGATGATGGGAGGAAAATACAACTGCATGAGGTGTACCGTGCATGAGGTGTATCTAGATTTACGAAATTATATAAAACAAAACTATTTTTATAACATGGTGATATATTATACTATAATTCAATATAAAGAAAGTAATGCATAATCACGACAAGAAGAAAATTTTTGTAATTTTTTACCTTTTTTATCATGATTTTTTTAATTATGCGTATGAGATGGTAAAATCCTAGAATTTTGTGTTTACCTAAGGGTATAGCAATGACAATTTTATCAAGCCGCCAAAGAAATATTCCCTCGATTTGCCCTTTTACATTTTTTTAATTGGCATGAAGCCTCTTTGTCCATTGTGTACAGTGTATAAAAACAGTATTCACTGAAAGCTTTTTAATTCAATATTACAATATCTCAGCATGTCGATTACCATCAGCTTTTCTTTTATACTGGAAAAAAATTTTAAATTTGCACAATTTCAATGTTAATGCTTTGTTCATATTGAGACTCATGGCAAATGCTTAGAGGAGTATTTCGTGTACGGGATATTTAAACTATATTTCACCACTGAGGCCCTAGTTTTATAGCTTTTAAACATCCAATTAAAGTTTAAATGTATGGATACAAGTGTATACTTTATCAATGGTGTTCATTTGTTACTTGTTGCTTTCAGGTGTGCAAGATAGCATAAGTGGAGAGCCTGGGCACGAAAATGATGAAGCAATTGACGATAAGGTATTTTACACATTATTGGAGCAGAATACAATTGTGCAACAATTTTTAAGTTATAGCAACTAAATTATAAATTATACAATATAATTATACAGTGTCGTCGAAAGAGTGCAAAGATGCCTCATAAAAAAAGCCTATTCGGTAAGGTATCTTCAAATTATCTTTTAATTTCTTAAATAAATGATAAATACAAAAAAAGCTGCTGTTTTTAATATTACAACCTTAACAAGACACAAACGGAACTAATTTACATAATTATGTTAATTATGAAATTATTATTTTATAGACAGAATTTTACAAGGATGTCTCTAACGATACAATCTCTCTGGTATAGTAAACTGTAAATTTTCCATAATTTCCTTTTAGTTCTAAAATTGTAGACCAACTAACACAACTGTAGAAAAGCTTTTGTTACAAAAAGGGGCATATATCCATATATTCCTGTTCTGGCGTATCGAGCTACTTTGAAATTGATTGTTTCCTGTGAACTATAACATGCATATATGAATATTGCTCCTCAGCAGTGTTTTTTATGTTTCCTGTTCTTACTTGTATTATAGAAAGAAAGAATTGTACTAACACTATCTGAACTTAATCTTAGTTGCTTAAGATTCTCAAATAACCATTTTTATGTCTTAGACCAAACAAAATCCATGTCAAACTACTAGAACCTATTGCAAAGGGTATTTTTTATGTGAGTCGGAATTAGGTGCAATTTTTTTACTAACTTATTTTCAGATTTTTTGTGTGTTGTTACAATGCGTAAAGTAAATACTAAAAAACACGTCAACCCAAATTCAGTTAGAAGAAAGTCACGAAAATGTATAGCAGCTGTGTCCTTGGAACCTATAATGTTTTGTTTCTTTAGTCTCAGGAACGTGACTTCGCTCAACTAATTAAAATAATTGATGAAGACAATGATAAATTTAAAATCGTTAATGAATCATGCAAGAGCAAATCTACGTCATTGGAGATGGACAAAGTATTGTAGTGTTTTTCAGTTTTTACAATATATACTTTCATGGAAAATTTTTGAAAATTTAATTCTTGTCAATATTATTTATTGAATTTTTGTTAACCTGTAGGACGATGGATCATATGACACATACTATGAGATGGAGGTAGGTCCTGCTGTTCCAACAAATGAGATTACTGAATCTTCATCCGAGGAGCTTGAAATAAACGGTGTACACTCGAGTTATAATGTCGATAGTAACGGCTTAAATCATTTAAAGAGCAATCAAGATTTACAACCTTTCGCACATTCTTTAAAATTCATCAAAAGGGTAAACATTTTTTATACAATTTCGTCAGGACATTTTGCATTCTAATTAAGAATTTTGCTGACTGAAAAAGCTCTTAACACCAAGCTATTCAAAACGATGACACATTTTTGCTCAATGACGAAACAATAACTGACCTTTTCTATACTATCTAAAATTTCAAATCTTCCGCAACCATTTTGATGGAATATTTCGTGTACATCACTGTACAATGTATGAGTATATTTGTTGTGATTATTTTATAGACAATATAATTTCAGAATACTTTTCTTAGTATAAGTCATGAATCACATGATAATATCCTATACTCTATAAGAAACATCATAAGAGAGGAAATACGTTTAAGAAACAACGTTTTAAGTTAAAAAATTGTGCATCTGTCATATGTCATTTATCCTCTGTTGTATTTTATACTTTGCCAATTAAAATCTGCATGCTATAAATTCAGGAGATAATTTACCATTTAAGTGAACAACGAGGCAAAAAAAGCTCAATTTGAGTAAAAACTACAGGGGCGTAGCTGGAACGTGCCTAGTAGCTAGGACGTAACTAGTAGGGACGTGCTTATTCATGTATTGAATTGTACCCAACTGATTTCTATAGAAAGCAGACTCAATTTCAAGAGAAATCAGGAAAAACGATGGAAAAGCGTTGTTCTGTAAATTTGCACCATGTACCTTTGCTAACCTAAAACTGTTGTTGACTATCTTACAAATTTATTTTTGTCCTGTACAACTGATTCAAAAATTGGGTCAGATTTCGTTGGGGACCAAGTTTGTGATGATAATTTTGGAGTTGCTGAAATATGAGGATTTGAAAAAACAAATGAAAGAAGAAAATGTGGATTGGAAAAAACTAATGAATGAAGTAAATGTGGGTTGGAAAAAACTAATGAAGGAAGTAAATGTGGATTGGGAAAAGCCAATGAAGAAAGTGCTAGCAAAACTAAAAAAAACGACGATGATGCCATGTACAAACATACTTATTGCCCTACAAAAAAAAGGCTTCTTAACATCAATCTTCAAAAAAGAGGTCGGTGTTGGCAGAAAGCAGTATTTTCTAAATACAGCTATTAATGAATTTAAAATGTCGCAGCATAAAGCAGGACTTATGATTTATATCACTGCCTAGAAGAGTCATTGTGTCGTCTTGATTATGGACGAAAATGGTGAAGAAGTGAATATTTACGACGCTACTATCAACGAAGACGAAGTCGAAAATTTGGAAAATCTTCAGAGCTTACAAATCCTCGTATTGACTTATACGAATGATAAGATACCACTCATTGAAAAAGAATGGTTTATGTGCAAAGAGTGTTTTTGTGCAAATAACTATGTTAAAGCGCACAAAAACAATATCTCCACTAATTAACTGGATTTTTCTTTTTTATAGTGATTTGTAATCAATTTTGTAATGTATGTAGTAAGTTGTCACAGTTTTACAGTATATTAATTGGTGAGATGTCAAATTTTTGAGTATCATATAATCACAATGATCTTTTTCTTAAAAATCGTTTGTTTAAGTGTAAATTTTGTGAGAACTTTTGGTATAACTATGTATCGTTATAGTTAATTGCTACGTATAACATATTTTTAATAATAATAATACTAATAATGATAATTATGATGATGATAAATTATTTTTGATTGCAAAGAAAGCACATTGCACAATACAACTGAGCGGCGTGAATAATAGATTCATCTACTGTAGGAAGATCTTAAGAAGCTATAGAAAAATTGCACAAAGCTCACACAAAACTCTCCCTCAAAAAGGAACCCAGACCCATTGCGCGAAAGACTTTTAGATAATTCAATGCAAAATATGACCATTTAAGTTTGTAAGTAGCCAGTCATCTCATTTTTTGTATAATTTCCATTTCTCAAAATCGACTTGTTGTTCAAGTCTAGTCTTATTGTTGACAATGATTACAAAAGTTTCATATTTCTTTGGCATTATAGTTTACTGTCTTATAACTATCATTGACAACAGATAGACAAACAAATATCAACAGTAAAACTAAATAGAATTTCATGAGTATAATAACACGATTTTGCTGTTTTAATTTCCCTTTGGTTTTATTCCTTCATTATATAGATGATTCTTTGCCTTGTCATAGGAATGGTATTTGTCGTTTTTTAACTCATATCTTAATTTTATTTTTCATCATGAAATTTATTTATGTTTTTGTGAAATTACGTTTAATAAACCCGTTCATTATAAAAAATTAACAGACCTCCAAAAATAATTTTATGCCAATTAAATCGCGTGTTGTTTCACCAATAGTGACGTTCGCCAATTAATTAAGAGTTAGTCTATGTTCCAAACAGTTATATCATTTATAATTCAAACATGAAAAAATGCATAGTTTTTATTGAGCTTAGAGCATAGTTTTTATTGAGCATAGATTTTTATTGAGCTTTTCACTCGTTGCTTCGAGCCTTCATCAGAATGAGGATATTTATTTACACCTGCTTTTAGCTTGGAGACGTTTAGACATTTATCCACCCACTAATCCAATTAGACGCTCTAAACGTCTCCAAGCTAAAAGCAGGTGTAAATAAATATTCTGATGAAGGCTCCAAGCAACGAGTCGAAAGCTCAATAAAAATCATTTAAAATCCGGAGAAACTTTTATCTTTTATATACTATGTATATATTTGAAAATTGGTAACCCAGGCATATTATGATAATGATATATTATGATATATGACTATGTATATATATACTATGTGTATTATTATGGATAGTATTCCTGGATAAAAGAGCGCTCAATATTCTATATATTAGAAGAGCGTAAGATAAAATGAACTAAAACAAAATGGACAAGTGTTTGCTGTCGCTACTCGGAGTTTCACGCCGTAGGGCGATCTTCAGGCAACTGACAGATTATATATTATTTGCTGACTATATACATCGACTAAAAGGTGTTAAGTTACATGACGGCATCCACTAAACATATCGGAACGTTTATTTAAATCAATTACGAACATTAAATACCGCAACGAGACAAAACTTTCTAAATACACGTGACACTGAAAGAAAACAAACGTAACTACAACATTAAGAGGGACTTCATCAAACAACTTCCACCTCCGAACAAAAACACCAAAAAACCTGCCGTCTTTGCCTTGAAGAAAGGCTACTTATCCTGAAAGGACGTAAAAAGAACATTTTAAATAAACGTTCCGATATGTTTAGTGGATGCTGTCATTTAACTTAACACCTTTTAGTCGATGTATATAGTCAGCAAATAACATATAATCTGTCAGTTGCCTAAAGATCGCCCTACGGCGTGAAACTCCTAGTAGCGACAGCAAACACTTGTCCATTTTATTTTAGTTCATTTTATACTATGTATATATGTCTATACAATGTGTATATACATACTTTTACAAAGTAAATTACAATAAGCCTCCCGGCTATCACCATAATGAAATAGTGACTCCTGCACTTGGGACACAGGACGTACGGTTACACATTATATGGATTGTATTGTAGACTCCCAGAGTGCTCATATCTAGAAAGGTGAGCGTCTCCATATAAGACTCTACACAATCCTAGAGTGCTCAAGCTCTATCAAAGTCTCTACAAGATCGTAGAGCAATCATTCCTAGACTTGGCGAAATATACAAAGTGAATATACAATGTGTATATACATTTACAAAGTAAATTACAATGTGCCCTCCCGGCTATCACCATAATAAAAAGATGACTCCTGCACTTGGGACACAGGACGTACGGTTACACATTGCATGGATTGTATTGTAGACTCCCCAGAGTGCTCAAACCTAGGAAGGTGAGCGTCTCCATATAAGACTCTCTACACAATCCTAGAGTGCTCAAGCTCTATCAAAGTCTCTTACAAGATCGTAGAGCACTCATTCCTAGACTTGGAAACATACAAAGTGTATATACAATGTGTATATACTATGTATATATATACTATGTGTATATGTCTATACAATGTGTATATGCATATATTTACAAAGTGTATTACAATGTGCCCTCCCGGCTATCACCATAATAAAAAGACGACTCCTGCACTTGGGACACAGGACGTACGGTTACACATTGCATGGATTGTATTGTAGACTCCCCGGAGTGCTCAAACCTAGGAAGGTGAGCGTCTCCATATAAGACGCTCTACACAATCCTAGAGTGCTCAAGCTCTATCAAAGTCTCTACAAGATCGTAGAGCACTCATTCTTAGACTTCATGAAATATACAAAGTGTATATACAATGTATATATACTATGTATATATGTCTATACAATGTGTATATGCATATATTTACAAAGTAAATTACAATGTGCCCTCCCGGTTATCACCATAATAAAAGATGACTCCTGCACTTGGGACACAGGACGCATGGTTACACATTGCATGGATTGTATTGTAGACTCCCCGAGTGCTCATATCTAGAAAGGTGAGCGTCTCCATATAAGACTCTCTACACAATCCTAGAGTGCTCAAGCTCTATCAAAGTCTCTACAAGATCGTAGAGCAATCATTGGCTAAACATACAAAGTGTATAAATGTATATTAAGTGATATATACAAATATGTCTATACAATGTATATGCATAATTTACAAAGTAAATTACAATGTGCCCTCCCGGCTATCACCATAATAAAAGATGACTCCTGAACTTGGGACACAGGACGTACGGTTACACATTGCATGGATTGTATGTAGACTCCCAGAGTGCTCAAACCTAGAAAGGTGAGCGTCTCCATAAGACTCTCTACAATCCTAGAGTGCTCAAGCTCTATCAAAGTCTTACAAGATCGTAGAGCACTCATTCCTAGATTTGGGAAATATAAAGTGTATATACAATGTGTATATATACTATGTATATTTATACTATGTGTATATATGTACAATGTATATGCATATATTTACAAAGTGTATTACAATGTGCCCTCCCGGCTATCACCATAATAAAAAGATGACTCCTGCACTTGGGACACAGGACGTACGGTTACACATTGCATGGATTGTATTGTAGACTCCCCGGAGTGCTCAAACCTAGAAAGGTGAGCGTCTCCATATAAGACTCTCTACACAATCCTAGAGTGCTCAAGCTCTATCAAAGTCTCTACAAGATCGTAGAGCACTCATTCCTAGACTTGGCGAAACATACAAAGTGTATATACAATGTGTATATATACTATGTGTATATATGTCTATACAATGTGTATATGCATATATTTACAAAGTGTATTACAATGTGCCCTGGTTATCACCATAATAAAAGATGACTCCTGCACTTGGGACACAGGACGTACGGTTACACATTGCATGGATTGTATTGTAGACTCCCCGGAGTGCTCAAACCTAGAAAGGTGAGCGTCTCCATATAAGACTCTCTACACAATCCTAGAGTGCTCAAGCTCTATCAAAGTCTCTACAAGATCGTAGAGCACTCATTCTTAGACTTAAGAAATATACAAAGTGTATATACAATGTATATATATACTTTGTATATGTACTATGTGTATATATGTCTATACAATGTGTATATACATACTTTTACAAAGTAAATTACAATGTGCCCTCCCGGCTATCACCATAGTAAAAAGATGACTCCTGCACTTGGGACACAGGACGTACGGTTACACATTGCATGGATTGTATTGTAGACTCCCCGGAGTGCTCAAACCTAGAAAGGTGAGCGTCTCCATATAAGACTCTCTACACAATCCTAGAGTGCTCAAGCTCTATCAAAGTCTCTACAAGATCGTAGAGCACTCATTCCTAGACTTGGCGAAACATACAAAGTGTATATACAATGTGTATATACACTATGTATATATATACTATGTGTATATATGTCTATACAATGTGTATATGCATATATTTACAAAGTGTATTACAATGTGCCCTCCCGGCTATCACCATAATAAAAAGATGACTCCTGCACTTGGGACACAGGACGTACGGTTACACATTGCATGGATTGTATTGTAGACTCCCCGGAGTGCTCAAACCTAGAAAGGTGAGCATCTCCATATAAGACTCTACACAATCCTAGAGTGCTCAAGCTCTATCAAAGTCTCTACAAGATCGTAGAGCACTCATTCTTAGACTTGGGAAATATACAAAGTGTATATACAATGTATATATATACTTTGTATATATGTATTGTGTATATATGTCTATACAATGTGTATATACATACTTTTACAAAGTAAATTACAATGTGCCCGGCTATCACCATAGTAAAAGATGACTCCTGCACTTGGGACACAGGACGTACGGTTACACATTGCATGGATTGTATGTAGACTCCCCGGAGTGCTCAAACCTAGAAAGGTGAGCGTCTCCATATAAGACTCTCTACACAATCCTAGAGTGCTCAAGCTCTATCAAAGTCTCTACAAGATCGTAGAGCACTCATTCCTAGACTTAGAAACATACAAAGTGTATATACAATGTATATACACTATGTATATATATACTATGTGTATATATATGTCTACAATGTGTATATGCATATATTTACAAAGTGTATTACAATGTGCCCTCCGGCTATCACCATAATAAAAAGATGACTCCTGCACTTGGGACACAGGACGTACGGTTACACATTGCATGGATTGTATTGTAGACTCCCAGAGTGCTCAAACCTAGAAAGGTGAGCATCTCCATAAGACTCTCTACACAATCCTAGAGTGCTCAAGCTCTATCAAAATCTCTACAAGATCGTAGAGCACTCATTCTTAGACTTGGTGAAATATACAAAGTGTATATACAATGTATATATACTTGTATATATGTACTATGTGTATATATGTCTATACAATGTGTATATACATACTTTTACAAAGTAAATTACAATGTGGCCTCCCGGCTATCACCATAGTAAAAAGATGACTCCTGCACTTGGGACACAGGACGTACGGTTACACATTGCATGGATTGTATTGTAGACTCCCCGGAGTGCTCAAACCTAGAAAGGTGAGCGTCTCCATATAAGACTCTCTACACAATCCTAGAGTGCTCAAGCTCTATCAAAGTCTCTACAAGATCGTAGAGCACTCATTCCTAGACTTATGAACATACAAAGTGTATATACAATGTGTATATACACTATGTATATATATACTATGTGTATATGTCTATACAATGTGTATATGCATATATTTACAAAGTGTATTACAATGCCCTCCGGCTATCACCATAATAAAAGATGACTCCTGCACTTGGGACACAGGACGTACGGTTGCACATTGCATGGATTGTATTGTAGACTGAGTGCTCAAACCTAGAAAGGTGAGCATCTCCATATAAGACTCTCTACACAATCCTAGAGTGCTCAAGCTCTATCAAAGTCTCTACAAGATCGTAGAGCACTCATTCTTAGACTTGGAAATATACAAAGTGTATATACAATGTATATATATACTTTGTATATATGTACTATGTATATATGTCTATACAATGTATATACATACTTTTACAAAGTAAATTACAATGTGGCCTCCCGGCTATCACCATAGTAAAAAGATGACTCCTGCACTTGGGACACAGGACGTACGGTTACACATTGCATGGATTGTATTGTAGACTCCCGGAGTGCTCAAACCTAGAAAGGTGAGCGTCTCCATATAAGACTCTACACAATCCTAGAGTGCTCAAGCTCTATCAAAGTCTCTACAAGATCGTAGAGCACTCATTCTAGACTTATGAAACATACAAAGTGTATATACAATGTGCATATACACTATGTATATATATACTATGTGTATATATGTCTATACAATGTGTATATGCATATATTTACAAAGTGTATTACAATGTGCCCTCCCGGCTATCACCATAATAAAAAGATGACTCCTGCACTTGGGACACAGGACGTACCGTTACACATTGCATGGATTGTATTGTAGACTCCCCGGAGTGCTCAAACCTAGAAAGGTGAGCGTCTCCATATAAGACTCTCTACACAATCCTAGAGTGCTCAAGCTCTATCAAAGTCTCTACAATGTATATATATACTGTGTGTATACATAAAGGATAAGAGTTTCTCCGGATTTTAAGTGATTTTTTTAAGCTTTCAACTCGGTGCTTTGAGCCGTCGTCAGAATGTTAGAATATATTATTTACAAAGATTTTGTAGGCGTTTGGAGCGTCTGATTGGTTGGTTAGTAGTTGAGTTGATATTATTGGATGGTATAAGATGCGTTGTCATGGTTTCGGGTGTATGGCATGGGTTAATGAAATTCGAGTGTTTATTTTAGTCGTTGTGTTATTAGTGTAATGATAGTTGCCCCTTATGGGACACCCCGAAGCTTGTAGGAGTTTGTTGTCAGTTCAATAAACAAGTTTACGCGACAGCTCTCGTGCTTTGTATCACTTTACTAAATGGTGTCAGAAAATAATTTATCATGGACACTTAAAACCTCTAGAGCCTCTCATCTTAGATGAAAACGCCATAGAAAGATGGCGGAAATAGCGACAAAGATGGGACCTTTACTCGAAAGCAAGCGGTGCCACTTCAAAAGTTTAAGACACGTAGTGTGCAATCTTTTTCCACATGATTGGCGAAGACACCCTCGAGATTTACAATACATTCACATTCACCGAAGAAGAAGAAGGTAAAATCAACCCACTTATCGAGAAATTCGAAGAACACTGCTCCCCTAAGAAAAATGTCACATACGAAATAGTCCAGTCAATCTACGACCAAAAACACTCTAAGCTTGAACAAATTTCCACAAAAGAAATTCCAACTGATTTTAGTATATTTGATATCCCTTTACAACATATCGAAAGTCCCACAAAATCCTAGCACGGCAACATCGTGTAAATTACGTTTTATTTGAGGCATTTGGATTGAAAATCTGAGCGACATGGAAACGAGGCTCAAAAATTAATGTTTTAGATTTTATCCTTTTAGAACACTTAGTAAAGCACAAATATAAATATTATAGATTAAAAACAAGTGCATAATGATATTTTGTAAATTAATTAATATTTTGTCCTTTGTTTACGTCAAAAATGCTGATCTTGCTGTTTTGGGTACTAATTTTCGCTGACTTGGTAGTTTTTTAGACAAACGCGTGTTTGAAGTACGTTTGTTTACGTATATTTTGCACGTGTTTAGATGGATATTTATTATATTTAATGTGACTTCCCTTTCAATACTTCAAATTGAAGCTTTGGCTCATTATTGGCATCAAAATGTGACGTTTCTTTGTTCTCCTCAAGGTAAGCAAAATAGATAACTTGAAGACTATGAGTTAATGAATGTATTATTTAATTGCTATTACATTTTACAATGAATGAATACGTCAATATTGTGGGTCACAATAATTTCGACAATATTGTGGGACAATATTGACATATTGTGGAATACGACAATATTGTCACAATTTAAGTTAAAACCAACAAGAGGGGCTATAATTAGCGACCTAATTACCAAATACAATGTTTGCATTATAATATCGCGTTCAAAGATACATTAGGGCTGTAAATATGCATAAACCAGTAAATAAAACCAGGCTTTTTGTGTTGTCGAACACTATTTTGCTTGTGAATCATTATAGGATGGATCAAATTCTGCGTCAGTACTGTGCAATATGTAAAGAATCAATTGTGAACAAACGGGTGGCTCTAACATCTAAAGGGATAGATGGTATAAACCGAGCTAGTAAAGAAAGAGGCGATACAGTTGACGTCCGTGAAGGTGACAGCGTTCACATAGCATGTAGGAAACGATACACAAATCCATCATATATTTCTAAATCGCCGTCAGAAGGAAGAGCGTCATCCCGTACCAAGAACCCTCGCTCACAAAGTTCAGTTCAGTTCGATTTCAGAAGAGATTGCTTGTTTTGCGGAAATGAAATTAATCAAGAACAAGAGCGCAAGGCGTGTTGTTTGCACTGTTAGACTATGGACATTCAAGACACTATCTTGAATGCTTGCAAAGGTGAGATACGATGACTGGGCCGAGTCCGTAAAATCAGGATCCAAAGTGCATGACCTACCGGCAGCTGACGCAATGTATCATCATCTATGCAGTACAAACTTCAGGACAAAAATGAGAATTCCAGCGCCATTTAATGACCAACCACCGCTCAAAAAGCGCAAATCAGGACGACCAATCAACAACACTGCCAACGATGCATTTTTAAAGGTAGCTCAATATTTAGAAAACATTGATGACCAAGTTACTGTATTAGATTTAATAAAAAAGATGGAGGAGTATTTGGCGGAGTCCGTGACTGATAGTACCGCATATAGCAACCGCTACATGAAAGAAAGGATTCTAGAGCACTTTGGGGATAATGTGATTATCACAAATCAACCAGGCATGCCAAGTATTGTGACATTCAGAAGAACTGCTGCGTCTATACTAGAGGAATTCCAGCAGAAAGAAAATTCCAATCCTGAAGATGAGAAACTGAATGTTATAAGAGCAGCAGCAAAACTTTTACGTAGTGACATAAAATGTATTGAAACACCAAACGACATATATCCGTTAATCGACAGTGACATTGACAAAATCTTGAATTCTTACCCCAACACTTCAGCTCCTTCTTAATCAACTGTTTTCAGGAAAGACACATCTCGGAAAGTAGCTTTGTTATCAAGCGATTACGCAGTCAACTCGTCCTGCTTTGCTTTGCACCTTTACAGATTGGAATGGGTGTTTTACTCAATCACAGCTTTGCCTCGCGTTTTTAATAGACACGCTTAATCATGCTGGTTTCTGTTTCATATGAAGAAGTCCTCATTCAAACGAAATGCAGCCAAGCCAAGGGACTACAATCCCGGATTATAATGGTGAGTTTACACAGGGTTTGATAACTCGACCATAACTCCGAACTATCGACGGGCATGGTACATTTCACGGTACAGGGATAATTGCAATGGTAACACCAGGTACAAATAAAATAAGCCAAGTTCTAAGGAAAAGGTTAAAGATCAAGACATCTTATCAACTGGTCAAATAGAAATTATACCGGTTTCACAACCAAGAAAGGCAACTTTAGACATCAAGTTTAAAGAGGTTACCATTGCCAGTGTAGAAGACCCAACAGCAAATCTGGATGTACTATGGAAATCATCATTGCTATTCAGAGATGTTAGTCGACCGAACTGGGGAGGATTTATGCAAAACCATCACAGGGAAATACCCGGCAAGTCATCTATACTGTTTTACGATGATTGACATGAACGCTAGTGACATTACTGTATCAACTCTGCACTTCACTTTGTTTGCAAGCATGCAGAAGAACATGGAATTGAAAATCCTATCGTTACTTACGACCAGCCCCTTTGGCATAAGGCATTCTCGCTGATCAACACTGAGTCTCAAGACAGTAAACTGCGAAAGATTATTCCTAGACTTGGCTCTTTCCATACTTTGATGAGCTTTCTTGGCAGTATTGGTCACTTAATTAATGGCGGGTTCGGGATTGAAAACTACTAAACGTAGAACGGAAAGAGTATGGAACATGAGAATAGTGAGATCAGAGCTGGGTGAATCTCTGTGTAAAAACATTTTGTTTCTTCATGCTATTGCTGGTTGTGACACGACATCCCGGCCCTTTGGCCTTGGAAAATCGGCACCTCTTAAGAAATTCACACATTCAAACTATTTCCGTGAACAAGCATCAGCATTTGAAGTTTCAAACGTCAGCATGAATACGGTTATCCAGAGTGGTGAAAATGCCTTGGTCTGCATGTATGGAGGAAAAAAAGGCGAGACTCTAGACAGTTTGCGCCACAAGAAGTACTACGAGAAGGTGTGCACTAAAGGCCGAATGGTAGAGCCCCAAAGTCTTCCCCCAACATCTAGTGCAGCCAAGTATCATTCATTGAGAGTCTTTCTTCAAGTTAAGCAGTGGCAGAGTCAAGACGAAGGATTGTTGATTGATGCATTTGGTTGGAAAATGTGGTTATGTTATCGTACCTAGAACAACTGATCTTCCAGCAGCTCCTGAAAACTTGCTTAATATGATACGATGCAACTGTACCACAAATTGTTCAACTGCAAGATGTACCTGTCGTAAAATGGACTTCACTGCACAATGGCATGGTCAATGTAGAGGTACTGGTTGCACTAACAGTGGTGTTGATGTTGAAGATGATTAACAAAAGTATGAAATGACAGAAATGTCTTTGTAAATCAAAGTACACTATATCAACCATATGTAAATTTAGTGACACTCTTGTATTACTATGTAACCTAAAGGATTCCTTTTTCGGTCGTTGAAGACTTAACATGATTTTAATAGCCACGCTGCAGATTTATATAATCAAATATGATATTCGTTAGGTCAAAGCAGTGTTATTTTGTAATTTTGTTTATAGCCTCGTTTTCATGTCATAATTTCACAGAA